GGCAGGACTGTGCGTCATCCTGTGTGGGTGGCGGCGGTGCAGGACCCTTGTATCCTGGGGTTGGACTTTCTTAGGAGCACAGGCTGCCAGTTAGACCTAAATAGGGGCACACTGAGCTTCCAGGGAGGGCCGGAGGTCACCATGGCCCCTAATGTCACATTCACTCAACCCAACAAACCCTTTACTCCAACAGTTAAAGCAGCAGAGACTCATGGCTGCCCCCCCTCCCCCACATCTGTGTGTGACTTTTCCCCAGCCCCCCTGTCACCTACGGCGTTGCGTTACATTCCCCCAGCTACCTCCACGACACAGCCCTCTGTGAGCCCGGGCCGCGCCCCCCCAGCCCAGCTACCCCAGATGGGAGGGGAGGGGACACTGTCTGCAGTGAGGGAGATATGGGGGAGGAACTGTGTTGGTCTTGACCCCGAGCAGCAGGAACGGTTGTGGCAGTTGCTGTTTGAATTCAGAGACAGCTTTGCGCTGAGTGAGGAAGAGGTGGGTCAGACTCATCTGGTGCAGCATGAGATCGACACAGGTGATGCTCGACCTATCAAGATGCGTCCCCGCCGTATCCCGCTGGCACGCCAGGAGGCGGCAGACAAGGCTGTGTTGGAGATGCAGCGGGCAGACTTCATTGAGCCCTCAGACAGCCCCTGGGCGGCGCCAGTCGTCATGGTTCCGAAGAAGGGGGGCAAGCTGAGGTTCTGTGCGGACTACAGGCGGCTGAATGAGGTAACCAGAAAGGACTCATACCCCATACCACGTATCGATGAGTCGCTGGACCTGGTTAGGGGGTCCTCCTGGTTCTCCTCACTAGACCTCCGCAGTGGCTACTGGCAGGTGCCCCTCTCCCCAGAGGCCAGAGCCAAAACTGCGTTCTCCACTAACAGAGGACACTGGCAGTTCAAGGTCCTGTGCTTTGGCCTGTGCAACGCTCCAGCTACTTTTGAGCGTTTGATGGACAGGGTGCTGGATGGCATCCCCCGACAGCAGTGTCTGGTATACCTCGATGACATCCTGGTCCATGGCAGCTCCTTCCAGTCAGCCCTGGGGGCGCTACGGTGTGTGCTGGAGAGGGTGGCTGCCGCAGGTCTGAAGCTCCACCCCGAGAAGTGCCACTTCATGAGGAGAGAGGTGTCCTTCTTGGGCCACCGAGTGGGGAAGGAGGGGATCAGCACCATGGAGGACAAGGTAGCGGCTGTCAGAGACTGGCCCACCCCCACCGACCAGCGTCAGCTGAAGAGCTTCCTGGGCCTGGCCTCGTACTACAGGAGGTTTGTACGGGGCTTCTCAAGCGTTGCTGCTCCACTGAACCGCCTGCTGCCGAAGGACAAGGCTTTCACTTGGACAGTGGAGTGTGAGGAGGCGTTCAACACCCTCAAACGTGCACTGATCGAGGCCCCCGTGCTCGCCCCCCCTGACCTCACATTGCCCTTTATCCTGGACACAGACGCGAGCAATGTGGGCATGGGTGGGGTGCTGGCCCAGGTGGGGCCAGAGGGGGAGAGAGTGGTGGCGTACTTCAGCAAAACATTTGACAAACATGAGCGCCGCTACTGTGTCACCCGGCGGGAGCTCTTGGCTGTTGTGGCTTCCGTCAAACACTTCAAGTACTACCTGGGTGGTCTGCCCTTTACTGTAAGAACTGACCACTCTGCTCTCCAGTGGCTCATGTCTTTCAGAGAGCCAGAGGGGCAGGTGGCACGCTGGTTGGAGGAGCTTCAGCCGTATGACTTCACGGTGGTGCACAGGGCAGGGGCACGCCACTCCAACGCCGACGCCATGTCCCGTCGGCCCTGTACTGCAGACGGTTGCCGCCACTGTGAACGGAGAGAGGGACGGGAGAGAGAGCTGTGTGCAGAGGAGGGGGTCTGTGCCACAGTGTGTCGGGCGAGCGGGCCTGTCTGCTGTGAGCTGCAGACTGTCGACGTGGCTGAATGGGGGCAGCAGCAGGGACGGGACACAGACCTACAGCCAGTGCTGCAGTGGGTAGAGGCGCAGGTGAGGCCACCATGGGAAGAGGTGACAGCGCTCTCACTCGCGACCAAAGGGTTGTGGTCAAAGTTTGAGCGACTGCGGCTGGCTGATGGCGTGTTACAGCGGGCATGGAAGGAGTCAGCTACGGGGGAGGAGAGGTGGCAGGTGGTGGTCCCAAAAGCATTGCGGGAGGCTGTGCTCCAGAGTACTCATGGGGGGGTGGGGACTGGACACTTTGGGGTCACAAAAACACTGCGCCGCCTCCGTCAGGGCTTTTACTGGGGGCAGCACAAGAGGGATGTGGAAGACTTTTGCCGCCGCTGTGACAACTGCACAGCGAGAAAGGGCCCCCCAGGCCGCTCTCATGCTCAGCTCCAACAGTTCCCAGTGGGGGCTCCCATGGAGAGGGTGGGAGTGGATGTAGTTGGGCCGTTCCCCACCACAGACAGTGGAAACCGCTGGGTGCTCACGGCCATGGACTATTTCACAAAATGGCCCGAGGCCTATGCTCTGCCTGACCAGGAGGCAGAGACCATTGTCGACGCCCTGACAGCGGGGATGTTCAGCAGGTTTGGAGCTGCAGAGTCCATCCACAGCGACCAAGGCAGAAACTTTGAGTCCCGTGTGTTCGCCACCATGTGTGAGAGGCTGGGTATGCACAAGACCCGCACTACTCCTCTCCATCCTCAAAGTGATGGCCTTGTGGAGCGCTTCAACAAAACGCTTGGACAGCAGCTGGCCATCGTCTCTTCCAAACACCAGCGTGACTGGGACAAGCACCTGCCTATGGTCCTCATGGCATGCCGCTCCGCTGTCCAAGACTCCACCTCCTGCACGCCTGCCCTCCTCATGCTGGGGAGAGAGATCCGTACCCCTGCGGAGATGGCGTTTGGTCGGCCCCTGGATAGCCCTCATGTTTCCCCGGGGCCGGAGTATGCCCGGAGACTCCAGGACCGCCTGGAGACAGCCCACACCTTTGCCAGAGAGCAGCTGCTGAATGCAGGTGTGAGGCAGAAGAGGAACTATGACGTGCACACCCGGGGAAGGCACTTTGTGGCTGGGGAGCTGGTCTGGGTCTACAGCCCGCTAAGGAAAAAAGGCAGATGCCCCAAGTTGGACAGTCACTGGGTGGGACCCTGCAGTGTCCTGGAGAGGGTAGGGGAGGTTGTTTACCGGGTGCAGCTTCCTCCCAGGGGGAGAAAGGTGACACTGCACCGGGACAGGTTAGCCCCATATAGAGGGGCCTCTTCTCCCCAAACCCCAGGAACCCCCACAACTCCCCTCTCTGGCAATGACATTCTCCAGGCACCCACCCCCAGGTGCCGCAGACAAGGCTCCAGACAGCCCACTCCCCCTGTGTCACCGCGTGGTTCCCCAGAGCCACGGACTGTATTACCCGTTCCCGCTTCCTTGTCCCCCATGTCCTTGCCTTCATCCCCTGGTTCCCAGAGGGGCGCACTGCGGCCATCACAGCCACGCAGGCAAAGGAGACCTCCGGGTCGCTTCAGAGACTTTGTTTGTTCCCTCGGGGACGAGGGACTTTGTGGTGGGGGGGCTGTGTAGCGACCCGCACAGACAGCGGTGTGTTATGTGTTAGGCTAGTAGATGGTTGTGTTGTACCTACCAGTACCCAGTGTTCGCGGGGTCCGACATGTCAATCAACCTGCTATCTTCCAATCACGGGAATGCCTGGAATGTTCTGATGCCGGGCATCCTGGCGGTTGGCGGAGTGGCGTGGAGGGGGGTTGGGCAGGGGGATGGAGCATTGGAAGTTAAGACCAGGGTTAGCCTTTGTTCTCTCTCTTTTTACGTCTGGGCTTCACAAGAGAAGGTCACGATTGGCTTGTGGGTTATCTTACATTTTTATTTGGCGTGGGCTACGGCCAAACAGTAGCCTGTGTAAAGTTGGTTTAATAAACCGTCCATTCGTAAACTCAAGCCTCTGTCTGGACAGTTGTTCTTTTATGATCTAGTCAGGTCATTACATTATGTTGGTAACCAGTTTATAATAGCAATAAGGCACCTCGGGGGTTTGTGGTATATGGACAATAAACCATACTAAGGGCTGTGTATAGGCACTCGTGGAACACACCTTCCCACCTCGTTAATTATTTTCCATAGAACGCATAGCCCCTCCCTTAGCTACACCTACAGAACGTACAGTTTATCCCTTACATAATCTCCGGTTTCTCATGCCTTAGGCTATTGCTTAAGTAGGCCTAATAACATTTAAAACAGTTCATTATGATAACAGCTGATGTGGATAGTTTTCTAACTATAGTAGTTTATTATGCATCCTAGGATTAGGCTACTTTCATGGATGTGATGATGACTGTAGGCATGATGATGGAGTTCGAGGATGACTCAATTTGTTATGTTACAAAGTAGGCTATTATTAGAATACATGTATTTACTATGGGTGCATAATTTAGGAAAATCTCACTTTTGGAACAAGGCTATGTGACTGCAGACGACAAGTGGTGTCATGGAAAGCTCAGCCATGCCTATTTCATGTAATGTAATGTGGTAATTGAACAGTCTCTTCTTTAATTGGGCTACAGATGCTGATGCTGCACGTATCCTACACACATCGTTGGAGGCTGTGCAGTGCGCATCAATACTTTTTTAAAATTCTGTTAGCTATGCTTTTTCCTGCTTGTAGAAAGCGAATGACATCACTTTCTCTGTGCAATGAAGCCTACAGTAGGTTGTTTTGCCATTCATTTTAGATATCGGATGAGTGATCAGACTTTCTGTCAGTGATAAGGCTATTTATTGCGCGCACATATGTGACAGCGTATCACTTTCAACCTGCGGTGTTTCACATTACGGTTTCTGTTTTTTCTCCACTCTTGACTGTATTACCAAAGCCTCTGCGGTCGAATCGTCCCCGCCCTCCGGGTTCAAGCGATGGGAGCTCCTAAAGCGGGATCCCCATTTGCTTTGGCTCCAGCCCAGATGATCTGAAGTTCTGTTGAGGACCAGAAAAGAGAGGGGGCTTGGCTACGGGAAACTTGGACTTGATGCTATCATGTCCAGACAGCAGCATGTTCTCTCCAGATTTGGAAACTGATACCACTGCGGAAGACACAGCGCCCAACACCCCCAATGATGGAGACGATGCACCCGCCAGCATTGACGTACTGGAGGAGGTGAGAGTTAATGCAACATTTTCATTCAAATGCAATGAAGGCTAAGCGGTTAAATGCAATTTACATGATAGGAATGACAGCATCATCCTGAAAAAGCGCATAATGGTGTTGCCTTTTTTATGAATTTAAAATAACATGATAGCCTTCTACACTGTATATATTTAGTGGAAAGGCAACTAATTCATTGGTGCAAAAAGTGCAGCTCGCAGTCTCATAGTAAAAGGCACACAATCAATATATATGGGCCTATACATGTAGCCCATATCATATTATATTGATTGTTGCTATTCATGTCATGTCTATTTCAGTCCTCTGCTCAGATGGAATAAATTCTATACTGAGTGCAATTGGTATACCACAACATCCTTTATCTGTTCTCTGGAGTCTAATAATCACTATTAATTCACCAGCAAAATACTATTTCATTTAATAGTTTATCAGATTTTATGGAAGTGCAATAGCCAAGAGCAGCATGGGGCCTTTCCCTATCATCATCTCTACATGAATGTAATTCTGCATTCAAAAGTACTGTATTATGTAGAAGACAGTAAACAACTTCATTTTCCCAAGAAAACAAGTCATAGAAGACAGAGCCTAGTAATGACATATGTATGCAAGGCTCAATAGAGTAATTCAGAGAATCTGGATTTTGTACCCTTTAATGATGTGTACTCGGAATGCTAGAGTTTTACCTCCAGTCTGTCAGGCTGTAGTAACACTTATTCCATCTGGGGAATTGGTTGTGTGCAGCTTACCGTGAAATATAGCTTCTAGGAGAGACCATTTCATTACGACGAGTTGTTCTTACCTCAAACCGACAGTATGTCCGTGTCCCAGAGGTCTTGACCTATGATGCTGTGTTGCCCTGTACCAGGATGCTCCAAAAAAGTAAATGCTATTTTTGACGTTTTACTTGTGTTGTCGATGCCTGATTGCATGTCCCGTCTGAGTCACCCCTTTCTGTCTGGTCTGGTTAGTTTGGTTCATAACCTTCATGTGAAACACTTTACCAGTAATACATTGAACCTGACAATTTGTGGTGTTTCAGGGATATACGTTATTTCAGTGGTTCCCAACCTTTTTCGGTTACTGTACCACAAACTGAATTTTGCTCTGCCCGGAGTACCCCTGAAGTACCCCCTCTTGTGCATTTTACCAGTAGGCCTATGGTCTCATGAGTCTTCTCAAGTACCCCCTGTGGATAGGCCAAGTACCCCTAGGGGTCCTAGTACCCCTGGTTGGGAACCACTGTGTTATTGGAACCAAGTTGACTGATGATTGACTCATGAGTCATTGCTGACTGAGCTCGCCTTTGAGCATATATCAGTTAATGAGACGTTTCTTGCATGAAGCAACACTAATTCTAAGAGCTGAAAAGACCACAATGACACTTCCACTATGTTGTCAGTGGATCTTCATGGGTGAATGGCTATAGACACCTGAAGGACCTTAATTAGCTGAATACAACAAGACAAAGTATAACTAAATTAACCCTGCCTATTTGTAATGTTTTCTGGCCAGTTGCCTTAGGTCTGACTTATCTCAGCTCTGTGAGAATGCCTCTGCTGAGGAGGAGAAATTTCGTTGGCAGCCAGAATTGCAAATGTGAGCACTTTCGAAGATGTCAGGACAGACAGGTTGCTGCACTGAACTCTTCACTTGACACTCAGCAGATATAGGGCACACAGAATGTGTAATCCGACGACCTGTGTGTTTGATTTTGTTGTGGTCAAGTTTAGTATAGAAAATCAATGTTCATTTTAGCAGCCGTCTGAGGTCATAGATTGTTTAACAAGTCACTGGGGGATTGAGGATACACATGCCCTGTTGGACATGGTGCATGCTTACTGTAACCCATGCAAAGATGCTTGAAATGTTAGCAGAATGTTAGAGTTGTACATTGACCTAACGTGATTAGCAGTTGTTCCCATTGCAACATAGCCATTGCAGCATAGCCTTATTAAATTACATTCACGCGAGCTACATGGTATAGCTCCAACCTCATTTACTCTATTCTGAATTTGGAAAAGCTCAGCACATTACAGCCATGTCATGGTAATTTGCATTTTGCCCACAGCAATATTGGATCAGTGTCATTTCTTAGGCTCATTGGCGTGTGTACTCACTTCTCATCATGTTTTACCATTCTCTTTCATATGGTACAGTAGCTATTATTGATGTGACACTGTTGCTTTCTGCCCTGTTAAAAACCTTTCAACCTGTATAGGTAAATATCAAATAGCCTACATTGTGATCCAGCGCTCCTTAAACACAGCCATATCATCGAACTGATTCATCAGACATGGCGTCACAGGAAAGAAGAAACATAAAGAAGCTGGTGTACATTTATTAGAGATTCCCTAGTGAATCCTTTAAGTGCTTCAAACAGTGTTCTCCTTTGAAATCACTCTGCTGAAACCTATTTAAATGCTTTTGTCATACACATCTATCTTTTCAAAGTTAGAGTATTGTATGTAAGCTTTTTTCTCACACTGTCTCTCTTTTTCCTCTTCGCTCTCGCTCTCTTTCTGCAGCAGCGGCCTGCGAGGCAGTCCCTGAGTGCCTGTATGTGTCGAGAGTCCCACTGGCGCTGCCTTCTGCTCTCCCTGCTGATGTACAGCTGCCTGGGCGCTGTGGCTTGGTGCCAGCTCACCCGAGTCACCAAGCTCAGCTTCGACTCATCTGTCACATCCCTGACCTCCATTTCCTCACTCGAGGGGGTTGGCATGGGAGGACGCTCTATGATTTACCATGACAGCCCCTGCTCTGACGGCTATGTGTACATCCCTCTGGCCTTCCTGTTCATGCTCTATGTCATCTACCTGGTAGAGTGCTGGCACTGCCAGGCTCGTAGTGAGCTACAGTGTAAGGCTGATGTGGATAGCGTGTATGAGCAGGTATTGAGGATGCGACAGGCCCGTCCGTGTGTTTGGTGGAAGGCCATAAGTTATCATTTTGTTCGGAGGACCAGACAGGTGACCCGCTACCGGAACGGCGAAGCCTACACCACCACCCAGGTCTACCATGAGCGGGTCAACACACACGTGGGTGAGGGAGAGTTTGAATACAGTCGCTGTGGTATGCAGGACGTCTCACGGGATCTACGTGGACTGGAGAGCCACCCGGCAACGAGACTTCGTTTCACCAAGTGCTTCAGTTTCACTGGGGCTGGACCAGAAAATAATTACCTCAACCAACGTGCCAGGTTCTTCTCAGAGATTGAGGGTTTGGATGACTACATGGAGGCTCGAGAAGGGATGCAACTGAAAAACGTGGACTTTAAAGAGCATCTGATAGCCTACGTGGACCCTGACCGGTTGCCCTGGTATACTTCTCAGGTGGCTTTCTGGTTCGCTGCTCTGCTCATGCTGTCCTGGCCCCTGAGGGTGTTTATAGAGTACCGTACAGCTTTTCTGCACTACCATGTTGAGAAGCTCTTTGGGCTGGAGTACAGCCACAGCAGCCCCTCTCCAATAGAGGAGGTTCCCATCAGGAGTGGTCTCCCTCGGGTAGATACCGTGGACAGCACTGAGCTGGAGTGGCACATCCGCTCCAACCGCCAGTTGATCCCCAGCTACTCAGAGGCCATGCTGATGAACCTGGCGTCTTCAGACTCTGGTACAGCTGATGAAATCAGGTCCTCTAACTGCTTCCTGCTGGACAGCCACCCAGCCCAGAGCTATGGCACGCTGGTGCAGGACTGTGAGCACTGCTGCCAGCTGCAGGGTGAGGTTGGACAGAGGCGGGCCACCACCAGCTCCAGCTGTTCCTCCATCTTCTCCCGTCATGCCTTTCACTCCCGCCTATCCCTGGACACCTCACGCTTCTCACTGTGCCGCATGTACGGCTCTCTGCGCACCGTGGGCCTGTGGAGGAGCCGCAGCAGCACACTGACTGACCGCTGCTGTGTGGACGAGCAGTGCTGCAATTCCTATTCCAGCCAGCTGGCTCTCAACGAGAGCCCACCCACCTACCGGGACGCACACTTCTTCCCCGTCCTCATTGTGCACCGGCCCGAGGGCTGCGGTAGTGGTGACTCCACCACAGAGGTGCGGCGCTACTATGTCCACCGGGGGTCCTGCTGCCTGGAGACCTCACTCTGAGGGACCAAGAGACATTTGACTGATTCGGTAACAATATATTTATTCCAAATAAGAGGTTGTGAGAGTCCAAGAGCATACAAAGACACTGTTCTTTTGACAGCACTGAAAGTGTGTTACTCACTATAGGTGAATGGTTCAACATGTTTTATAAATTCTATTGTTATTAGAAAGTATTGACTGTATTTCAAAGGTTCTTGTAAAACTGATGTCTAAGTTGCTGACAGAGTTTTTGACTTTCTTCCAATCACAAAGATAATTTTCCGTTAGGACCTCTGGATGTTGCATTGCTTTTATTGATACTTGAATTCTGACACTTCAATCACCATTAATTTAATGATGTTTTGTCTCCCTGTGCCTAGTCAATAGATTTAAATTTTTTTAGTCTGCTGTGAATATTCCAGATATTACATGTACCTTTTTCAAATGTTAAAAAACCACAACACTATTGAAGTCACACATATATCTATTTATGTGAGAGTTTGAATAATATGAATTATTAATTATAATCTATTATTATTAATATGAATAATATTAATAATTTGTTACAACAAATGCAAGCTAGGTTCAAAAGCTAACATAAGCATCCATGCCTATAGTCTCAAGGGAGCATGTTGAGATACTTACTCCAATTCTCAAAGTTAGTTTAAAAGGTGAATTGTAATCTATTTGTGAGTCCAAAGCAGTTCAATTATTGATACAGATTATTTTAATAGAAATCATGATGAGATAATATTGCTTTATAAATTAGAATTATATTGCAAAATAACTTGATTGGATTAAATCTGGAGTTTGAACAAAGTGATTGACAACATTTTAAAAGCATACAGAGAGCAATAAAGAAATTGTGCCGTTTTAAATGGCAGTGACTGTTAATAAAAAGGCATCTAACAAAATCATGTATTTTGTGTAAGCATAAAATATCTGTTGGTTGTTGTTACATTGCTGCTACATTCACAAAGACATGAACAAAGCTATCCCTGGCAAACTCTCAGCTGCTTTGTTGCCATGACAACTAATGGTCAACAGCTGTTAGCAGCATTGGAGGTGGTGATTCTTCCTGGAATATGTCTAGGTTGAAGATAACATTATAGATATAATATATATATATAGATATAATATATAATATATATATATATATATATATTTTAGACCTAGTATTCTGTCTACTACAACAGGTATACGGAGAGACAACAAAATATGCAGGTAAGTGTTTAGGCTTTTTATGGTTTCAAATGTTATGGTTTGAAAAATGTATCTTATACTTATAATTTAAGTGGGCTGATTAGCAGGCTCAAGATATAGTATTTTAGCAACTTACAGTATCATTCCTTTTAAAGAGATTTTATGCATCCTTTTATGGTATTTTATGCACTTCTCAGCAACATATGAACCTAGCAATGTGAGGCTCTTTGAATTGCACCCAATTTATTTATGTTAAATTTTTTTATGAATGTTTGTTCCCCAAGAGGATATATTAAGCAACATGGATTTGGTAAAACGCACCAAATCAAAGGTGGGCCGCCTACAAAATCTGAAAGGCCAGCAGCTCTACAGACAACTCCTCAACAATGCCACCTGCGGTCTCACCTTCTCCAAAGATGTTATATGGGAGATGGGGTCAGACAGTATACCTTACAGTCAAGCTGACTTCCACTGGCTTTTCAATGCCTCTGGACCTCTGGCACCAAGTCCCAAGCTGAAGAGCACAGGGATAAAATCGTTGAAAGGTATCCCCCTTCATCCTTCACCTCAGGATCCTGCCAAGAACAGAGGCTTCAGAGACCCTCCCTCTATGCTCCCTGAATTACAAATATCCCAACTTGCTCCATTAACTGCCAAAGACTCCTTTACACTGCCTAGTCACCAGGGGGGGCTCTTAGATTCCTTTAAAAGGACAGGACTACGAGGAGTTTCTAATGTTTACAACTGTCTAGAGGAAGCATCTACAGGAGGCAGGGAGGACCGTTTAAAGAGCTGCCACTGGGATGAGTTTGTGCTAAAGAAGCTGTCCAAGACCACAGCCCAGTGGATAGTGAGTCAACAGATTCCAAACCAGTGCCAGAATAAGACTCGGCTGCAGTCACTGCTGAGGAGTCAGTATGGTTCGGCCAGCGCCACAGATCTAGTCAATGAGGAGCCCATGTGTGAGGAGGATTTCTGCAGCTACCAAGATCTCCACAAGCAGACTGAGAAGCAGCGGGCTCTTCAGAGCAGCAAGGCTGAGACACCTCTTCCTGTATACTACAGGCAAGGAGACAAAACCTACTGTAATATTTCATGTTGAATTATTGAGTCCCCAGTCAGTTTTACGCCTCAAACAAATAGTGTCCAATGCACTAAAGTTGATGTTTTATGTGAGTTTCTATAATGTGTAGATCATCAGAATTTGTATTCACGGTTTCATATCACTGATCTCTATTTTCACTTGACATCCCTGCCGCAGGGTGCAGGGCTACTCTCTTCCCCCTGCATGTTCTGATGAGCCTGGGGGTATGAACCAGACTGCCAACACTGTAGCAGTCAAGCACATTGAAACACCTCAACCTCCTCGTCTTCAGGATAGCCTCAACCCCCGTGCTGGAAGCCATGTCTTGCACACAGAGAACAACTTTGAACAGGAAATATTTTCTGGTACACCCTCTCTCTCAATTCACATTCAACTGAAAAAAGTATTTTCTACATTGGTTATTGATCTACATCATATTGCCTTGACTTTGCATGTTGCAGGAATAGCCAAACAGGTACATCAGCGTGATCCACGGAACCACGATCGCATCATCATGGACAACAATTCAGAGTACCAAAAGAACCTTCAAGACTTTTTCCCCTGTGGTCCAGATAAGTGGACGAAGGCTTCAGCAGCAACCATGCACAATGAGACACAAGGTTGGGACTTTAACCAAAGAAATACAACCTCTGATAAAGGCAAGGTTTTACTAATTCAAATTCCATTGGGTAGGAATGCGACGGGTGGAGAAAGGTGCTCGGCGGTGGGTGGACCTGCCTACCACTGCTGACTATGCCACAGAGGTGGGTCTGAGACCTCCTGACTACAGCGGGCAAGACACAGAGGTGCCCAGACAGCAACCCCTCTACAACCCTATGCCTGAGCTCTCCTCCTTACGCTACGCAGTGGAGGGATGGAGGAGCGCCTGGAAGATCAGGTGGTCTCCTTGTCATTAAATATTGATGTTCTCTAAGCATTTGTCAATATCACTGTGCTGTTAAGCCTAATTTATTTCACATCGTTACACTACAGCATGCCCAGACATACTCCAAAGTTACTGTATATTGTCACAGAAGACAAGCACTTCAGTTTGCTCTTTAATCTGAGGAGGCTGTTCCTTCCTGTTCTAGAGATCACCTGGCAGAGTGTGACTATTGAAGGGCTGAAGAGGGCCCTTAAAGACCTGCACTACTACGTTCGCCTGTCAGCCATAGCCACTTGTGCATCAGGGGCAGTGAACAGACCGAGGGAAGAGCAACATCCCACAGATACAGGTGAGATGTAATAGATTGCGTCATATCTCAACTAATCTTTTTCAATTTGTTTAGGTACTTGTGTGTGAGTATGTACATATATAGTGGACATGGACAAAACATACTTTAGCACTTGTTTTTGTGAAACCCACCCCAGGTCAGTATGGCCGTGTGTGGGACATCCAGCCAGTTCCTCAGGAGCTCCAGCCACTTCTTCTCCTGGCTCTCGACGACCCTGTGAAGAGAGTTCAGATGGCAGCAGCAGTGTGCCAGTATGCCATGGGCACGCCAGACTCCCGAGCCCGAATAATCCTCCGCAATGCACTACATCAAGGTTAGGTCATACTGTATTTATTTTGGAGTACATTGTAATAACACATACCTTAAAAGATAGTTGCACCTCATGTCTTTCCCTACCACCAAGGCCCAGATTGTCTGTGTGAATACTCACATCTGAAAGGAATATAAACTGTAAATGGAACACCAATACTTTAAGTAAATAACTTAGGTATGGGTTTATTATTCAGGATGAATTGCGTTTCACTGACATCAAATGAATGGTGTAGTGTTTCGTGTCAGACTCTGCAGGTGCAGGTGCAGACAGCTGGGTGGCAGCACAGTGCCTGGCCATGGAAGGGGAGCACAGTCGGACAGTCATTCAGAGACTTCTCTCCCAGCACTTCGTCAGTGAGGTTCAAACAGATAATGAACAGTCAGCCGCTCTACTTGCCAGCATCAGTAGCAAGACAGTACGTAACTCCAATTTGTTCCCCTTAAATTGCTTAAACTAAATGATATACCCATTATATACCCAGTCATTGGGGCAAGCACTATTAGCCTATGCTCTTCTGTTTAATCACAAATCCATGATAAATGAAATGTCATTTTTCTGGTCTTAACATTTTTCTTTAGACTCTAGTTCACTCTCTGCTGGCTGAGGAGTTGAATTGTGCCAACTGGAGGACCAGACTCATGGCTTGCAACACTATCTCCCAATTGAAAGGCCCAATTAATAAGGTGTCTACTGCAATCTCATACATTTTATAGATTTCTTGAGGCCCTAATTCTGTGATTTTATTTGGTGTCTCAAATCAAACCTAAATTATGATACTGATATGTGATTATGTACTCATTAGAAATTATTTTTTGTAGGACCTTGCAAACAAGTTGATCTACCTGATGTGGAATGACTGGAGTGGTAAAGTGAAACAGACTGCAGCCCAGGCCCTGGGGAAACTAGGAATGGGACGAGATGTGCACAACGAGCTGAGGTACCAGATTGGCATTTGGTGATCACTAATGAGCTGATCAGAGGGCATCTCACTCTTTTCCTAAAACCTCACCCATTGGCTGTTTCAGAATGAAGCTAGAGGAAGGTCCCGCCTCCTGGAAGGTGGAGGCTCTCATCCTCATAGCTCAGCTACAGATCATGACCGCCAAGCTGCTGCCACCCTTCCTGAAATGTTTCAATGACAACTTTGTGGCTGTGAGGAAACAGGCCTGTCTGACTGCTGCAGCTCTCATTATGATGGACAGCATGGTGAGAAAGGGTTGAGGAGAGGCAGCAGTTTGCAGACGTTTGTCTCGACTTCGTCTCGTGCCTAATACTCATGCCAATATATCCTATAAACCACGCCTTCTTTGGCAATATCACTTCATTATAGATAGATGATGGACTTCAGGTGAAAAAATGCCTCGTCTTTACTTTTTGGTTTTAGGTCTTGAATCAGCTGATTCAGCTAACGCAGAATGACCCAGCATGGGAGGTTAAAGTTGTTGCAATCAGTGGTAAGCAGCATGGTGATGACCACTGGCCAACAGAGTAGATTTTGTAATGACAGTGTGAAACTGCAACTGCACTACATATGCAACTTTCTGTGATAGTGTATCTAAATATACAGTATAAGTCTAGTGTCAGAAAGCAGATGTGTGAACATGTTGAGGCACTGCAATTGTTTGTTAGCTTTAGGGAAGATAGGTTGCCTCACGCCCACCCTCCAGGACCTCCTCCTCTGGGCATTACATCATGAGGAGGAACCCCAGGTACGCATCGCTGCCTGTGAGGCCCTAAAGATCCTTAAAGTGAAGGGACCAGAGCTGCAGCATCTCCTACAGGAGCGGTTTGTACTGGAACCCCACCCCCAGGTCCATAGGTGAGTCAGAGTTCAGTTCAAAATCCATCCCACTGGGCACAGACGTCAATTCGATGTCTATTCCACTTTGGTTCCACGTCATTTCATTGAAATGATGTGGAAACAACGTTGATTTAATTAGTGTGTGCCCAGTGGGATATAATGTCATGCCATATCTGTGTTAGCTTTACCGGTATGAGTGTTTATCCATGTAGCTATGTCCATAACATTATAAACAATAAATCAATGTTTTTTCTTTGTCTACAAGGCATATACAGGGGCTCCTCAAAAAATATGGCTACAGTATTGAAGGAGACAAGGGCATGGTCCACAAGATCAAAGATCAGGTAAATTAGTTTCAAGGTTAGCCATGGAAAGGCACTCATGTTTTTGTTGCAAACTGAGGGCCATCAGTTCCGTCCTCCTGGTTTGCAGGTTCAGAGGCTATGCACCAAGCGCATCATCACAGACAAAGTGCTGTTGATGGAGAAGCTGGAGGACATGTACCAGCAGCAGAGGAAGTATCTGGTAAATGAGAGCCAGCCGGACACTACGCCAATATCACGGCTGCTGCAGGAACGCTACAACAGTGAGTGACGGACTACTACGGTGTGTTCAGCTGAGTTAAAGATATAATTTAATTATTGATGTTCAGTGAATTAGAGCCATCTTATTTCCCGAAGTTACAGTATATGCAGTTTGCTGACTGCGATGAATATCGTTTTTGAAGAAGGTAACATGAAACTATTGTGGGCATTGTCTTTTTCTAGGGATGAAACATTGCCCTTCCACAGTAAGGCCGACTCACTCCTCAGATTCCTCTGTGACTCAGGTATTCCCTGTCCTCTCGGAGTTCCTAGTCTTGTTGCAGAACTAGAGAACAAACCAGTTTCAAATGTACACTTTATTTTATGCTAAATTGATTTACTATATAAAATGAATAGCTACTATTAATACAAGCAATTACTTACAAAACAAATATGTATTTTACAAATATGACATGAATACAATCATAACCAGGATAAAAACAAACACAGTTAAAGCAGATGTTGTAAATTAACAGAACTCCCCCTTTCTCTGTAGTCCTCCTCTAAATGCAAGCTTGAATCAAGCCTTGTCAACAAATCCTCTTCATCTGCTTATCAAGATCATCAAAACTCTGCATCATGTGACAGTGGAGAAACCTCAGCACTCCAAGAAAATGAAGATAAAATTTCATAGAACCATGGCCGCATAAAATAAATACAGTATTTGTTGACTAAGAAATGCATGTTTGCTTTAGTGGTACTAGGGGATTTTTGTAGTTGTAAGGGATTGTGAAGGGGTTGATTTACTGTCAGGTAGTGGTGTTATTGATGGAGCTGTGCTGCTGGCTCCTCCACTGCTGAACCTGTTTGCAGTTGTTCCACCTCTGTCACCTGGGCCAGGAGCTGAGCTACACCATTGTTCTAAGAGAGAGAACAACATTTCTGTGGGAAATACTGTAGGTCAGATTATGACTCTGATATGCATATTGGAACATATATATTGCGCATTACAGGGCCACAAAAATAGTTGTGATGAGCTTGGGTATGTAAACTCTGTGGAGGATATACAGTATAGTGCTCCTTAATAGAATGGACACCACTTTGACTGCGACACAATGTACGGGTGTACAGTGCAATATGTATGTTCTATTCGCATCTGACCGGTATTAAACAGATTAAGGGCCACAATAATAAAAGCAACGACCCTGGGTGTGTAAACTCTACATTTTAATATAGTATAAGTATATCCTAACGATTCTTTTGCATATACAGTGTGTACAGGTAGGCCTCATTCTAAAGGATTCCAAAAATCATTGACCCCGACCCGGAAGTGCTTAGTTATTCTTGCTGGCTTCACAGTGGTCTGGCTACCTGCCTCCTGGTTAGCTAGATAACTAACTAGCTAGTCTTGGGATGGCTGCAGAAAGAATCATATCAGCAGTTTCAGACTACCCAGAATTATATAACTCAACTTTGACTTCATATAGGGACCCGATAAAAAAAGCTGATGCATGGAAGGCTGTGGGTAAACAATTGGGACTGAAAGGTATGGTCTGATTAACACGCTAAGAACAGTAGCATACATTTGGGCTAACTAAGTTAACGTGAGTAATGAGTAACATTTTTAACGTTACTAGCTAGCTAGAAAACGTGTTCTTCGCTAACGTTAGTTATTAAGTTTGACATATCTGACAATATTGTGTAGACTAGCTTGATATATTTTCTAGCGAACAACATCGTTCACACTGAGTTTGTTGACTTCCAGGTCTATGCTAGCTAGCTAGCTAGCTACTGTTTTGCCTGGTTAGTTTGTAACGTTAATTGTTTGCGACCCTTAACTGTTCCTCACTCTTTATTGTTTTGTTAATTGCATTGGAATAGTTGGCTACGTTGATTGATTGATTAGTAATGCTGATTGCCTTGGTCAATATACCTTGGAGAGTGAAGTTAGCTAACCACAGGGGCAGTGTGTCACGGTTTGTTTACTAGTTAGCTAACGTTAGCTAGCTAACGAATTAACTTGCTACCTAAGGTGAACCAGTTGAGTGGGCACTCATGATTTGCACCACCAGTGTCCCACCAAGAAAAATGTTGGTTGCTACACCAGCAGTTTATTAACGATGATTAGGTCAGTGTTAGTATAAGAATATAATCCAATGATTTAACAATATTATGTCAACACTGGAGATAAACTCTTAGTTAGAGCAGTGCAAGCCATTTTATCCACTGACAACGTAATGCTACGCTATAGAGACGGGGTCTTTACGTATCCTAGCTCTGTTTATGAATTTAAGTGGTTAGTCCGACAACGTCTACATTTGTGGGAACACATTGCTCATCCAAATGACCATGCATAAAGCACTGGTATAGCCATAAGGAAAAGTTCAACAGAACAGACTACTGTCAAACTTGGATAACCTCTTTTTCTGTTCCAGAGGAAGATGCCCGAAAGAAATGGAGAAACCTGAGGGATGTGTTCACAAGGAAAGTGAAAGCAGATCGGATTCGTGGTGCCACGGGGAAAGCCCTAAAAAAATGGAGATATAGTGAGTTAATGGCATTTCTGATCCCATACATACAACGAGGTAGAGGCTCTGGCAGCAACAATAGCACAGAGGAGTTTGATGATGGAAAAGATGAGACAACTAGCACCTCTGACGTCCTGATTGATCTAGATGGAAGTGTGGTTGATACCAAGATGTCACCACCTTTGGACAACAACTTGCATGAGATGACATGGAAAGATTCCTGGCAAACAGCTGGACAAGGAGACAATGAGGATGAGATGTTTTTCATGAGCCTACTCCCTCACCTCAAGCGGTTACCTTACAGGAAAAAGTGTGCAATTAAGCTGAAATTTCATCAACTTCTCCACGATGCTGAATTTGAGGACACTGACTAGCCTAACTGTACAGTACAGTGTATCTCTTTTGTATCAATGAGTTGGGACTTTCTTAGGACAAAACATTTTGTTGGAAATACATTTTATCAATTTTCATTTAGTTACCTTGAGAAAGTGTCCAAGAGTGCTTCTTTGGAACCCCTCCCTCCCAGACAAACCTTCCAAGTTTGAGCCCACTGGTGATGTCTCAGTGTGGTAGTGATAGACTGGAGAGGGGCTGTAGTTCTTAACCGAACTAAGCTAGAAACATTATTTTTTGTTTTAAATGTTTGTCGCCTAATATTTGTGGAGAGGGCTGCTGTTAACAAAGACCCTTTATACATACGAACACATGAAAATTGAGCTTGTTTGTAACTTTGAATTTTATTTGTAAAAAATATTGTAACCATGTTGGTCAATATTTTGTGTCACCTTACCCTCTGGTCACATTCATCTTTGATAATCATACAGGCATAGCCAAGGGAAGATGTTTGGGGGTGGGGGCATGCAGAAAGAAAGTAAAAAGGCAGCGCTACAGACCGCTATATCGGTCTGCTAATACAGGACTAGTAAAGGCCCAGTGCACTACTTATTTTCTGATTTTTTTCAGGGGGTGCGCTGCAGCACCCCAACAACAGGTATGCATTTTGTTTGCTCCTGTAAGACTTCAGTCTGGTTTGCAACTTAAATGTTTTTTTTGGGGGGGTGGGGGTTTGAGTAAATGTTCTCCATGCTAGTGTAATGGCGCAATAGTTGCTCTTTTTACAATTGATCTTTGTCTTTACTTTTTGAAGTTGGCTATTTCATTCATGCTTTTTAGAATGTTATTGAGCTTAATAAAAGTTCACTCAGCTGCATTCATTTCACTAAGGTGTTGATTCTGTATGTCAAGCAAGTTATGAATGCATATGGAAAATGTCACTTACCAAGTGATACCAGTACTCCGATTTTTCACTTTAAAATGTATGTCTGTCAAAGAAAAAATGATTGAGAAGTTAAACAGACCATACAACTCTGTGCACATGGACTACTTTTAACAATTTCCACTGAAAATCTTACAAAAACACATTGAATTGAACAGTGCAGATGTAAAGTTTGGTAAGAGAATGACTTTGCTGTCATTCTGTTACATGTGTTTTTGTAACATTTTCAATGGACATTTACAGTGAGGGAAAAAAGTATTTGATCCCCTGCTGATTTGGTACATTTGCCCACTGACAAAGACATGATCAGTCTATAATTTTAATGGTAGGTTTATTTGAACAATGAGAGACAGAATAACAACAAAAACATCCAGAAAAACGCATGTCAAAAATGTTATAAATTGATTTGCATTTTAATGAGGGAAATAAGTATTTGACCCCTCTGCAAAACATGACTTAGTACTTGGTGGCAAAACCCTTGTTGGCAATCACAGAGGTCAGACGTTTCTTGTAGTTGGCCACCAGGTTTGCACACATCTTAGGAGGGATTTTGTCCCACTCCTCTTTGCAGATCTTCTCCAAGTCATTAAGGTTTCGAGGCTGACGTTTGGCAACTCGAACCTTCAGAACCCTCCCTCATTGGCAAACTTCAGACGGGCATGTATATGTGCTTTCTTGAGCAGGGGGACCTTGCGGGCGCTGCAGGATTTCAGTCCTTCACGGCGTAGTGTGTTACCAATTGTTTTCTTGGTGACTATGGTCCCAGCTGCCTTGAGATCATTGACAAGATCCTCCCGTGTACTTCTGGGCTGATTCCTCACCGTTCTCATGATCATTGCAACTCCACGAGGTGAGATCTTGCATGGAAACCCCAGGCCGAGGGAGATTGACAGTTCTTTTGTGTTTCTTCCATTTGCGAATAATCGCACCAACTGTTGTCACCATCTCACCAAGCTGCTTGGCGATGGTCTTGTAGCCCATTCCAGCCTTGTGTAGGTCTACAATCTTGTCCCTGACATCCTTGGAGAGCTCTTTGGTCTTGGCCATGGTGGAGAGTTTGGAATCTGATTGATTGATTGCTTCTGTGGACAGGTGTCTTTTATACAGGTAACAAACTGAGATTAGGAGCACTCCCTTTAAGAGTGTGCTCCTAATCTCAGCTCGTTACCTGTATAAAAGACACCTGGGAGCCATAAATGTACAAACGTACAAAATCAGCAGGGGATCAAATACTTTTTTCCCTCACTGTAAGTAGTCCTTGTGCATAGAGTTGTGTGGTTTGTTTAACTTTGCAATCATTGGTGTTTGTTTCACACGCATTTTAAAGAGACAATTCTGAGTCTCAGCATCACCGTGGAATTGCCCATATGCTACAGGATACTAACAAAATAAAGGCAACACCAACAGTGTCTTGAGGGTGTTGGGCCACCACGTAACTTCAGCGCTGTTGGAGTATTTTAATCTTCGTAGTCATTAAGCATTCGACTAACTTTTTAAAAAATGATCCAAAAAAAATGAATATGCAGTAAAGGTTTTGGTCCGCTGCCACAGCAGAGCATGTAATGTTCAACGTGACCTTTTGCTAATCAAAACTAGGTACAAATGTCACTGCAAATGAATTGTTTATAGGATAATTATGCTGTCTCCAGTTCTACTTAAATGTCATATCAAACACTGTGAAATCCCACTAATTTTATGAGTGTGGCCCCCATTACTTTTCCATGGAAGCTAACTACACTGCTCAAAAAAATAAAGGGAACACTTAAACAACACAATGTAACTCCAAGTCAATCACACTTCTGTGAAATCAAACTGTCCACTTAGGAAGCAACACTGATTGACAATACATTTCACATGCTGTTGTGCAAATGGAATAGACAACAGGTGGAAATTATAGGCAATTAGCAAGACACCCCCAATAAAGGACTGGTTTTGCAGGTCGTGACCACAGACCACTTCTCAGTTCCTATGCTTCCTGGCTGACGTTTTGGTCACTTTTGAATGCTGGCGGTGCTTTCACTCTAGTGGTAGCATGAGACGGAGTCTACAACCCACACAAGTGGCTCAGGTAGTGCAGCTCATCCAGGATGGCACATCAATGCGAGCTGTGGCAAGAAGATTTGCTGTGTCTGTCAGCGTAGTGTCCAGAGCATGGAGGCGCTACCAGGAGACAGGCCAGTACATCAGGAGACGTGGAGGAGGCCGTAGGAGGGCAACAACCCAGCAGCAGGACTGCTACCTCCACCTTTGTGCAAGGAGGAGCAGGAGGAGCACTGCCAGAGCCCTACAAAATGACCTCCAGCAGGCCACAAATGTGCATGTCTGCTCAAACGGTCAGAAACAGACTCCATGAGGGTAGTATGAGGGCCCGATGTCCACAGGTGGGAGTTGTGCTTACAGCCCAACACCGTGCAGGACGTTTGGCATTTGCCAGAGAACACCAAGATTGGCAAATTCGCCACTGGCGCCCTGTGCTCTTCACAGATGAAAGCAGGTTCACACTGAGCACATGTGACAGACGTGACAGAGTCTGGAGACGCCGTGGAGAACGTTCTGCTGCCTGCAACATCCTCCAGCATGATCGGTTTGGCGGTGGGTCAGTCATGGTGTGGGGTGGCATTTCTTTGGGGGGCCGCACAGCCCTCCATGTGCTCGCCAGAGGTAGCCTGACTGCCATTAGGTACCGAGATGAGATCCTCAGACCCCTTGTGAGATCATATGCTGGTGCAGTTGGCCCTGGGTTCCTCCTAATGCAAGACAATGCTATACCTCATGTGGCTGGAGTGTGTCAGCAGTTCCTGCCACGTTGCACCACAGACTGTCCAGGAGTTGGCGGATGCTTTAGTCCAGATCTGGGAGGAGATCCCTCAGGAGACCATCCGCCACCTCATCAGGAGCATGCCCAGGCGTTGTAGGGAGGTCATACAGGCACGTGGAGGCCACACACACTACTGAGCCTCATTTTGACTTGTTTTAAGGACATTACATCAAAGTTGGATCAGCCTGTAGTGTGGTTTTCCACTTTAATTTTGAGGGTGACTCCAAATCCAGACCTCCATGGGTTGATACATGTGATTTCCATTGATAATTTTTGTGTGATTTTGTTGTCAGCACATTCAACTATGGAAAGAAAAAAGTATTTAATAAGATTATTTCATTCATTCAGATCTAGGATGTGTTATTTTAGTGTTCCTTTTATTTTTTTGAGCAGTGTAGTTTGTGCAATGTCAAACAAAGGGATGTTTGTCTCTTCCCTGCTGTGCTAATTTAGACTAACTTTGGTTTCAAAGACTGGCACTTGTTCCACTTGCCTGATCCATAAGATATGAGAATGTTTTCCTTCTGTCCCTTTTTCTTAATTTTTCGACATATCACCATCCCTCAGTTCTCAATATAGTTCCATTTGTGTTTTACACACCATACAATATTCAGTCTGGAAACAGGTAGCCTAGCGGTTAAGAGTGTTAGGCCAGTAACCGAAAGTTCGCTGGTTCTAATCCCCAAGCTGACTAGGTGAACAATCTGTTGATGTGCCCTTGAGCAACACACTTAACCTTAATTGCTCCTGTAAGTCCCTCTGGATAAGAGCATCTGCTAAATGACTAAAATGTTAAATGAGGATCTCGGTTTTTATTCTATTCTCTTTCAATTATTCATAGTTTGATTTGGCCGTGATTGATTGCAGTGCAGGTTTTCACACAGTGAGGCGTGGGTTGACTCATAACCCGTTATATCGGCGGGGCGGGTGGGTTTTGGATCATAAAATATTGTGTGGATGAAGGGTGGGTGGGTGGTGGTCGGGTTGACTAAAGAGAAAATAATGCCTTAAAATCCATAAATATCATTCTTGTGCAATGTATATACAGTTGAAGTCGGAAGTTTACATACACTTAGGTTGGAGTCATTAAAACTTGTTTTTCAACCACTCCACAAATTTATTGTTATACTATAGTTTTGGCAAGTCGGTTAGGACATCTACTTTGTGCATGACACAAGTCATTTTTCCAACAATTGTTTACAGACAAGATTATTTCACTTATAATTTGACTGTGCCTTTAAACAGCTTGGAAAATTCCAGAAAATGTCATGCTTTAGAAGCTTCTGATAGGCTAATTGACATAATTTGAGTCAATTGGAGGTGTACCTTTGGATGTATTTCAAGGCCTACCTTCAAACTCAGTGCCTCTTTGCTTGACATCATGGGAAAATCAAAAGAAATCAGCCAAGACCTCAGAAAAAACATTGTAGACCTCCACAAGTCTGGTTCATCCTTGGGAGCAATTTCCAAACGCCTGAAGGTACCTCGTTCACCTGTACAAATAATAGTATGCAAGTATAAACACCATGGGACCACGCAGCCGTCATACCGCTTAGGAAGGAGAGGCGTTCTGTCTCCTAGAGATGAACGTACTTTGGTGCGAAAAGTGCAAATCAATCCCATAACAGCACAGGACCTTGTGAAGATGCTGGAGGAAACAGGTAAAAAAGTATCTATATCCACAGTAAAACGAGTCCTATATCGACATAACCTGAAAGGCCGCTCAGCAAGGAAGAAGCCACTGCTCCAAAACCACCATAAAAAAGGAATGGGCCAAAATTCACCCAACTTATTGTGGGAAGCTTGTGGGAGGCTACCCGAAACGT